AGTGCGCGAGCATGTTTTCGACACCGCCATCTTTGGCAATTTTTCATTTTGTTTTTTGGCATAGCTAAATGCCCTGAAAATTTACAGATGTGTACTTCACATACTACAAAACCCACTAAAAAGTTTCAAAAAATAATAAAAATTGTTTAGACCCCGAACTAAAGTGAAAACAAAAAGTAAAAAGTGAAAAAATACGTGGGCGAGCACGTTTTGACACCGCCATCTTTGGCGATTTTTAATTCTTATTTGGCTTAGCCAAATGACATGAAAATTTACAGGCATGTACCTCACGTCATAGAGAACTCACAAAAAAAATTCAGAAAAAAATAATTATTTTTAGGCCCCGAAATAATTTTTGGCAGGGGCCGAATGCCGTCGGGTTCGGACCCCGTACGGGACCCCGAACGCCCGTACGTACGGAGGTCTGCCCGGGAACCTCCGTACGTACGGGCTTTAATGAGATCTACAAATGCGAGGATGTGGCTCCTTGGCAGGCCTGAGGGTCCCCGTATGCAAGTGTGCCCGCCCTAGGTGAAGGCGGGCCTAACAAATCATGAGAGGCCGAATACTGTCAATTTCGTATTTGGGGGCTCAGGCAGTTGTGTCACGTCAGTTGGCTGAGGAAACCCAGGACCCGAGCAGCAAATACTTCCCACGGCCTTCTAGGCCTTTTTGGAAATGCAGGCCCCTGGGCCTCATTCGCAGCAACATACACAGACAGTTGGGAGGTGTAACTGAACGAGGCCCAGCAGCTGCAGCAGAGGCCCAGCAGCCTCCTGGGGCCTACCGGAAGCTTCTGGGCACAGGCCCAGCCCAGCCAGGCCACAGGCCAGGCCAGACTCTTTCCATATAGGAAAGAGTTCGCTGCCTGGCAGCTCATTCAGGCACTTGCCAGTTTGCGGCAGTGCTGCTGGAGCGGACACTCGCGGGCTGCTGCTAGCGCTGGGGCAAGGTGCTGCGCACGTGCGGTCGTGTAAGAAGAAGTGCGTTGCTGCGGGCAGCTCCATAGCCCAGCTTCCATAGCTGGCTGGGCTTGGATATACAGCAAGGCGCAGTGGTGGCCTTCGGGTGTACAGAGGGAAGGCACGGGTGAAAGTCGAGGGAGAGAGAGAGAGAGAGAGGGGATGATGATGATGATGTGAGGGCACATACCTGGTATTGGCGATAGTCTGCATTGGGCGACATCTTCATGTACTTCCATGGCTGCTGATGTCAACAGTTGCATTGTCAATTCGTAGGCAGATAGTAGCTGTGTGGGAGTAGTCTGGGCGCCGAGCGCCAAGTAGGGGGGGGAAGGGCCTGGAGGCCCTGGACTCTTGTGTTGGTGAAGACGAGAGTGAGCTCTCATTGACATTAGGTTTCAGTGTTATGATTCTCCATTCAATTTGGTGTATTATTGGTGCAATGCTACTATCTGGACACTGTGGAACTTTCTGGCTTTCAATCTGGTTGTGCAATCTGGATTCTGTCATCTCGCTTTTTTTTTATTGCTCATTTTCCTTGCACAAATAAAATTAGATTTAGTCTCATTTAGATTAGAAAGAAAAAAAAAAAGAGCAAAAAAGGTTTTAACTTTTTAACTTGTAACAACTCTTTGATTCAGACTTGTTATCTTTCGCTTTTGTTTTTTACCCTACTATGTGTGCTGAGTATTCCAGTCAAAGCTACAAGACATCAAGACAGACTTATCTGTTGCTCCACTATCGTGCGTATACATCACACGCTCTAGCCTATCGCCTCGTTTTCTTTTCTTTTCTTTTCTTATCTTTTCTTTTCTTGTTGTCTTTCCTTTTTGTCTTAAAACGTAAACTTATGGTCTAGGCTCTGATCTATTCTGAGGAGCATTTAATGAATTTTAATCTTATCTTATCCATTTTAGTTTTCGGCCCAAATTTCCAGTGCTTTTCTTGTCATTTTTTTGAATGACTTATGGGATCATCAAGGCATCACCATGAATCTCTCTCTCTCTCTCTCTCTCTCTCTCTCTCTCTCTCTCTCTCTCTCTCTCTCTCTCTCTCT